GGGGATCTGACGGGAAGGGGGTTCTGACAGGAGTCTGACAGGGTCTGAAGGGGGTTCTGACAGGAGCCTGACGGGGGTCTGGGGGGGTTGGTCCGACGGGAGGTCCGACAGGGGGAATCTGAGGGGGGGTTCTGACAGGGGCCTGACGGATGGGGATTCTGACGGGCGTCTGATGGGGGATCTGACGGAGGGGGTCTGATGGGGGTCTGATGATGCCCTCTCTGTCCCCCAGGCTTGGACGTCAGGCAGGCACAGGTCATCGTCCTGTCCTCAGGCACCAAGTGCATCAGCGGCGAGCACATCAATGACCAGGGGCTGGTGGTCAATGACTGCCACGCGGAGATCGTGGCCCGGAGGGCGCTGGTCCACTTCCTGTACGCACAGCTGGAGCTACACCTCAGGTAAGCGGCGACCCCAGGGACGGGCCTGTGTGGACGGCCGTCTGCCCACAGCACATTGTGACCCAGACGGTGCGTCCGCTGAGCGCTGGCCAGCCTGAAATGCCAGGCCTCCTTCTCCTCTGGCCTCCCTCCTGGGGCACCTGCTCGCCCACGGGTGGCTGCAGCAGATGGTCTGCAAGGTGCACGCGCCCCGCCTGCCCACACGTACAGACACGCCTGGTAACAGGCTTATCCCCCCAGTAATGGGGACTGTTCAGGCCCAAGCGGCCGCCACAAAACACCACAAGCTCCCAGTCACTCGCAGCTCTCGCTGGACGTCCAGGATTCAAGGGGCAGCAGGTCCGGTGTCTGATGAGACGCTGCATCCTGGGTCACAGGCAGTGTCTTCTCCTGTGTCCTCCTCATGTGTGGAAGGGGCGAGGGGGTGCCCTGGGGTCTCCTTCATAAGGACACTAATCCCATCATGGGGGCCCCACCTCATGGCCTCCTCCCCTCCCAGAGGCCCCACGTGCTGACACTGACATCCTGGGGTGCAGGACTCCAACATATTAAGTTGGGGGACACAAACGTCCAGCCTCTAGCAAGGTGGTCGCCAAAGGGCAGTGTCTCCACACGACTACAGCACCCCACAAACCCAGCCACAGGCATCTGGAGTGGTGCCCTCTTGAGGCCGGACACATGGCTGGGGGCACAGAACAGAACTGCTGTCACTGGGTCCCCCTTCCCCATTTCACTGCCACCTGCTCTAGATGCAGTAGGCAGAGGGCAACGAGAAAGACACGGGGAAATAAGACACAAAATAAGATGCAAAGGCATCGGCCCAATGGGCGCCTTTCCTATTGGTTCATAATGAGTGACGAGGACCCTCTCTCTGACCCTAGCAAGCGGCGGGAGGACTCAGAGCACTCGATATTCGAACGGTCCAAGGACGGCGGCTACCGGCTGCGGGACAACGTGCTGTTCCATCTCTACGTGAGCACGTCCCCCTGTGGAGATGCCAGGCTGCACTCACCCTACGAGATCACAGCCGACCGTAAGACACAGCCCCCTCCCCTCCGCCAGCCCCTGGGCCAGGCTTTCTGCGCTGAGCATGCTCACTCGTGTGGCCTGGCTGCCCCCTCAGCCTCCAAACCCTCGTGTGACTCGCCCACATCGCTGAGAGCAGGGTGACTTGAAAAGCTAAAATTAGCTATTTAATTGCTATGGTTCTCTGCCTCATTTCAGTTGATCAGCGGCCCCTGCCCCGCTCTGCACAAGAGAGGGGAGGAGATGGGGAGAGAATTACGCAGAGAAAGAGCAGGTCCAGGTGGCTTTGCTCACCTGTGTTTGCAGCTTTGCAGAGAATAACGCTGAGCGTGTTTATTTATGTGTAACTAAGCCACCAGTGGGTGTCGTCCCGGGTAGCAAACCCCGGTGTGAGCGCTGGGCAGGACCTGCCCTCTTGAGCGTTTGGTCAGAGCAGATGTGGACAGATGGGGTCCACCCAACAGAGGGGACGCTGTGTTCTGGAGTGCGGGGACACAGCCGGCCTCTCCTGTGTGGGTCTGATGACATCAGCATCTCGGGAAGAGTGTTCAGCTGCTCCAGAGTGCCAGTAAATTCTCTCCCTGATATTATTCGTGCGTGCAACATGTACCGTGCGTGCATGCACCCCCACACATGCACACACGTGCACATGCACACACAGACCCCTCCCAAAAGCAGCACCAGGCAGACCGTCTGAGGCAGGCAGTGAAATTAGACGCGTATATTATGAGGTATCTGGTCCCAGTAAAGACGCTGACTCATCCCGGGAAATCTTCAGTTGAGGTGCAGCAGACGAGACACGCGTAGGGAAGGTTTATTTTTGGCATCTGATTTCCCCCACGGAAGGCTGCGTTTGTGTTCTAATTGCCAGTGGAAGGACAGAGAAGCACTTTCTGAATGCCCAGGCTTTGCTGAGATAAAGCAGGTGCAGAGGAAGAGCACTTTTGAGAAACCCTACGTGTACTGAACTTAACCTAGTTCTCTAACACGGATTGCAGCCTGTCCAGAAAGATCCATTCCCCTTTTCTCCAGATTTGCTCCAAGACCCTCACTCTCCCCTGTGGAGAGTGGTCGGGGAGATCCCCATAGTGTGGCTCTGAGTAAGTGTCACCCCTCTCTTCCCCCATGGTTGCTGGAACCCAACAGCACAGCTGGGGTGGATTAGAAACAACAGGCATTGGCTGCCCACAATCTGGAGACGGGGAGTGCAGGACCCAGTGTCTGGGGGAGCCGCTGTATCCTCACGTGGGTGGGGAGGTACGGGGGCTCTGCGGGGGCTCCCTCCCAAGGGCATTGATCACATCAGGGGGGCCCTCATGGCCTCATCACCCCCAGAGTTCCCTCCTCTTGACTCCATCCCCTTGGGGCTGGGGCTTCAACACAAGAGTTGGTCCAAGTTGTGTGTCCAACACAAACATCCAGCCCAGAGCCACACCCTATGGAAAGCAAATGCAACTGAGAGTCAGGATAAGGGAGCTCCCTAAATATAGGGGCCTTTCGGGGAGCTTCCCCGGGAGCTGGCAGGTGACAGCAGGTGCCCCCCCCCCACAAGGGTAGAGCAGGGACCCTTCACTGTCACATATCCCAGAGAAAGGAAGAGAAACAAAATGGGACAGATTCATTTTTCCTGGAGGGTTCATCAAGCTGGATCTCCAGGAGACCGGCTTCCTGTATAAAACTGTGAACTGTGCTCCATTAGACAGCTGCTTAGAACTGTCTTTCCATTTGCTCCCGAAAGTCTGGCGTCATGAAGACCCAGGAGCCCTGAGGTCTGGAAGGAGAGGTCTGGCAGAATGTTCAGGGCCGGCCCTAATTTACCCACTTCCTCCTGAGGCCGGCATGGCCAAGTGGGGACAGCCTGAGACCCACTGTGTCCCCCTGCCTCTCTGCGCCCAGCACCCACCACAGCCTCCCAGCTCCCCCCCCCCACCCCCGCCCCGGTTCCAACTAGCAAAGCCAGTGGTTCAGAAAAACAAACAAATACATCCTCAGATGCACCCTGGGGCTCACTTCCTGACACAGATGTCTTTTATTTCTTGGTGCTTTTAGAAGCGGCAGGTGCTGCTAGGAAGAAAATAGAGCATCTTCCTCACATTTTTACCACAGATATGCCAGGCAGGAATGAGCTGCTGCTGGGGCTTATTTAAAAAAAAATTTTTTTAACGTTTATTTATTTGTGAGAGAGAGACAGAGCACGAGTGGGGCAGCGGCAGAGAGAGAGGGAGACACAGAATCTAAAGCAGGCTCCAGGCTCTGAGCTGTCAGCACAGAGCTCGACGCAGGGCTCAAACTCATGAACCATGAGATCATGACCTGAGCCGAAGTTGGACACTCAACCACCTAAGCCACCTAGGTGCGGGGGTTATTTAGACCGCAGCCTCTGGAACTTCCTCCCCAGGACCACCGAGGAGGGGCTCTCGGCAAGTCTGGACTCAGACTCCCAGCCAGAGCACACATCACCTCCCTGCACTCTCAGCAAAGCCAACACTGGCTCCTGCCAACCCCGCATGGAAGGGCTTCCCAGGGAACCTGCAGCCATCGCCCAGTGCAGGCCTTTGCTTCAGAAGGAGGGCGCACAGGGGAGATGTGGGCAACTGGGTCTCTGCTCTCAGGGGCTCTTGCCAGGGAGCCAGTGGGGACAAGTCCCTGCAGGATGTGCAGGCCTGTGGGGCCATCCACTCCCAGAAGTCAGCGCCTCTACCTCCAATAGGTAACCCTGGAGAATCCAGCCCGGCTCCATGTTCCTAAACGGGGCTCTGGAATCACAGCCCCAAAGGTGCATGGACACAGATGTGCTGGGTCCACCCGTGCCCAGGAGCCCCAGCGCTGGAGCAGAGACCTCCCCAGGCCCTCCGCACCTTCCCCACCTGCTGCCCACCACATCCCCGCATTTGTCCTCAGCCTCCTCTGCTCGGCAGAAAGCGACAGTGCTCCGGGCTCTCCTCCCCCACACACACGCACAAGACACGTGCACACACACAGGGACACCCATGTGAACACACACATCTCGACAGGTGTGTGATGCATCAGGAGCTGTAATCACACCTGAATCACATACTGAGTCTAAGAGAAAGTTCTGGACACAGCTGCTGACATCATTCCCCTTCGTCTAAAGAGTACAGTGTGGCAAGGAAGTTCTGTAGAGAGGTCTGGACAGCCAGTAAGCCAGTGTCACATGCCGCAAGGCCCAGCAGAGAACCGAATCTGACCTGGTGTTTCCAAGAGCAAGTGCCACAGAGCGATGGTGGCCAACCACCCACGATGCCTGGCCCTGTTGTCTCAGGGGCTCTAATGGGTCCATGACTCCCTGACCCCGAAGTCCCTAAGGCCCTGTCCATGTCTCAGACAACACTGAGCCCTGTGCTATGAAGCAGCCTCACCTCCCTCAGACGCCTGCAGCTCAAAAAATTCTAAATTCCCCAGTTTTATTTTTTTCCTCAAAAATATTCATCTAGATAGATCGTAATTCTTCCTTCATGGAGTCTTTAAAAGTGAAATCAAAACCAATCGGTCTGAAATGTTTGCAAGGCGTGTTGCCTGCCAGCAGGCGAGCTGTTTCCAAACCCGGCTTCTCTATCGGGATCACCTGGGGAGTCTCACAAATGTGGCTTCCTGCCGCCACTCTTCCTAAGATTCTGGTGTATTCAGGGTAGAGTGGGGAACTTTTAAAACCTCCCCAGTGTTCTGAGAATCTGACGTGTTTCCAGCAACAGGACTCAAAATCCCCTAGCGGCCTCCTGCCCAGATTGGGTCTGCATGCAAAAGGGGTCTCCCAGAGTCTCTGCAGGGGCCAGGCTGGCGTGGAGGGCAGGTGGACAAGGCTCTTACCAGTAGGGATGAGCCTATGCTATGACGGTCATTGGTCTTGGCGACCCAGAGCAACTCCATTCATTCCCCAAGGCCAGAGCCACAAGGGTGATGTCATGTCCTGAATGGCTGTGGGCAGAGCTGGGCTGGCCCCAGCTGGCTGTGAGGGGAGCCTCCATAGACAAGATCCAGGGCCCTTCACTGCGGCTGAGCAAGCACCATCCTCTTGACTCACCAACATCATTAATGCAAATGTCTTTCATGGTGCATCTTTTAAATAACCTGGGAAACTCAGTTCTTACTGCCATTTTCCAAGATTTAACCGCGTAAATTCTCCCCTCCATCTTCCCCCAAATGCTATGACAAAGGGCATGACTGCATCATATCTCACGAGCACGTACTAAATGCCAGTATGTTCTAAGCCTGCTCCATTGGTTGTACCTAGGGGAGTTCAAGAGATTAGACCAAAATCACATACAAAGTCTGGAAGTCTAAAGCACATTCCTGAAAGCCCTATCTTCAGGTTTCTGCCCACTGAGTCACAGACGTGTGCAACATATGACAATATCAGTGCACCATAGAAAAAACACATTCAGATGACCTCATAACTGACCACCATCACGATCACCGCTGTGTCACATAAGACAAAGGACACCCACATGACTACACGATAGATGATGCAGACACTATTACAGTAAATACTGGATCTCACCGTAGGTGTACCTTCTGGGATTCATACACCTTTTAAAGATGATTTAGAAATTAAAAGTTTATCTGTTGCTTAGAAATACTGTCTTCCATTCCTACTCCTTTCTCCCCCATTTCTGGCTCTCTTTCTGCCAACGGCGTTGCAGCAGCCATGTCTCACTCTTTAGACACAGCTGTGCTCCCTAGGTGGGCTCCTTCAATTGCCATTGATCTCTGCTTTCTTTCCAGTCTCCTAAAAATTAAACATTCACTTGAAAACCCTGTAAAGCATATGACAATCCTTACTTTATCTTGACATCCATCTTCACAGGTAAGGGCTCGAAATTGATAAATGCCATAATGAAGACTCTGAGGACTTAGAGTACTAGCAGCAGATTAGAATATTCCTATAGATTTGGGGGTATCTGCATGCACAAGGCAGGCAGGGTCTCAACACTGCACACCCCCAGGGTCTCCCGGGTGCACTACGCCACAGCCCATGCAGATCCAGTCCATGCAGCCTCTGGCTGGACTGCTGTTTTGTTCTGCTTCAAGTGCCAACTTTAGCTCTCTCTCCCCGCTCACAATAAGGCAAGAAAGAACTGGAGGAAGTGGGCTCACCAACACTCAGAGCACCCCCCCACCCCCAGGATGGATCACGCTCATCAGGGAGCATGCTGGGGAAGGCAGCCCGAGACACAGCACTTCCAAAAATAAACACTTTTCAGGAGTGCCTCATGCACCTGGCTCTTCAGGCAAAATTAATCCACCTGAGAACTTTGAGTTAACTCCTACAAACCAATTGTTGACTGAAGCCAGGACTCCCTGTTGTCAGGGCATTAACGGACCATAAAGTCTACTGCATGGAAAGTCAGTTGTGCAGAAGCAGAGGGTAAGAATTTAGAAAAGCCTTACAATATATCAGGCAACTTCCAAAGTCTGAAAAATTACACAACAGTTGGAGCACCGAGAGAATGACAAGGACACTATAATTAATACAAAGAGAGGGGCAGAAAGTACCATATTCCCTGAGAAAATATCCCCATCATAGGGGGATATGACAAGCTCTATGACACTGTGGTAAACTGTGGTGTATTGGTCCTCCACTCTCCCAGTGCTGCCTGCCACAGGAAGTTGATGAGATAAGTAAGACCCCACCTGGGCAGTGTAAAGAGTCAGGTCAAAGTAAATGTTTGCTCGAGCGTCTTGAGTCATATGAATGATTTGATGTTCATTTTACCATCGTCACCATTACTGTCATCATCTCTGTCATTATATCATCTTCTACATCATTGTCATCATCATGTCTCCTCATCACCATTACCATCGTCACCATCACCCTCATAATCACCACCATTGTCATCATCACCATCATCGACATCACCATCCTGACCACCATTATAATCACCATCATCACCATCATCATCATCACCACGATCATCACCATTACCATCATCACCATCATCACCATCGTCATCATCACCACTGTCACCATCACCATCACTATCATCACCATCTTCTCCATCATCACTGTCACCGTCATCACCACCATTGTCATCATCGCCATCATCACTACCATCACCATCAACACCACCATCATCACCCTCATCACCACCACCATCACCCTCATCTCCATCATCACTATCACCATCATTGTCGTCATCACCATCATCACTACCATCACCATCATCACCACTCACCATCACCACCACCATCATCACCATCTCCATCATCACTATCACCATCATCATCACCATTACCATCATCACCATTACCATCATTACCATATCCATCATCACCATCACCATCATCATCATCATCATGACCACCAGCATCACCATTACCATCATCATCATCACCATCACTGTCATGATGATCATCACTATCACCACCAGAGTCATTGTCATCATCTGATTTCCTAGTGCCATTGAAAGCAACAGAGATTTGTACCCTCATTGTCATCATTGTGGGGCATCCCTGGCTTGCATACCCAGGGCTCAGTCTCTCATCTTGGTTCTTCCTTCTGTGGATGACTTACAGATCAGTCAAAATTGGATCTCATCAAGTACCTCATTGGTGAGGATCAAAAAGCAATCTGAAACCTCTTAAAAGTTTACTTTCTTCAAGGAGTACAGCAATCTTTCTCCCTAAGACATAGGCTTGAGGTACAATGGAAATGTAGTCAAAGAACTTCAGTTCCTACAAACAATGATAAAATAGACTGGAAATTACTTTGAGATCTATAAAAGAAGGTGTCTATATAAATCCACATATTTTTTATTATTTTATGCCTTCAGTAATGATAAATAAGAGAGAAATCCTATTTCCAGGACTTCAAAACTTAAATAGAACATTTTTAAAGGAAGTATCTTTAGTATCCATGCATGTCACCATATGTATGTAAATGCTGGAATAACTGTGCTATATATCATTTGTATGCAAAGCAGTTAACCATTTCCATATCCCAATATAATCCAGACTTAATGTGCAGAACTTTTTTAAAGAAAGGATAAAAACAATCTTCACCTTGTTCATGCTAGTTCTCCAAATAACCATGGACTATGGGGTGTGGCGTAGGTGTGTGTGCCTCTATGTGTGTGGGGGGGGGGGGAAGGGGGCTCCAGAAAGGAAAGGAGAATATGAAATGGAGGCATGAGGGACCCACAGGAACCAGTCATAGGCTCCATCTCGTCCTCATAGAGACCCTGGGTGACAATGGACACCCTATTGTACTGTCCATGCCCTATCTCATCCACCCCCATAGCCCAGGAGGCAGGCATCATGATTCGCCCTAGTTTAAGATGCAATAATTATGTCACAGTGGTCATGAGTAACTTTCCCAAGGTTAAGGAGCTAGGAAACGTAGGGCCTACAGAACACAGCCCTCAGGCCAGATTCCACCCACTTCCTTCTGTATGGCCCGTGAATGAAGCATGGTTTTCACATTTTTAGATGGCTGAGAAAGGTGAAAAGAGTAATATCTCACAACAAATGAAAGTTATATGGAACTCAAATTTCAGCATCCATAAAGTGGAATGCAGCCACACTCATTCACTGACCTGTCTATGCTGTGGCAGCACAGTGAGTGGCTGGACAGAGGCCAAAAGGCCACAGAGCCTCTGATAATTTACTGTCTGGCCCATTATACAAAGTCAGCTGACCTGGTCTAAAGGTGGCACTCTGGAGCCCAGCTCTGCACCAGTCACTGCTCCCCTCCACTGGGACACTTATCTGTGCTTCCCCAGACTAGCAGGTGTCCACGGCACGGGGGCCCCCCTCCTCCCACACCACTCTGGGTGGGGATTCACCCTCTGCACAAACAGGGTCCCAGCCTCTCACAGCTGCCTCTTACCTCCTAGTCAACAGCAGTAAACACATCGTCAGGAAGCTCCGTGGACATCTACGCACCAAGATCGAGTCTGGGGAAGGGACCGTCCCCGTCCGGGGCCCCAGCACCGTACAGACGTGGGATGGCGTCCTGCTGGGTGAGCAACTGGTCACCATGTCCTGCACAGACAAGATTGCCAGGTAACGGCCCCCTTGCTCACCTCCGCCCAGGTGGCTGCGGCCTGGCGAGGTCTGAGTGAGGGTGGAACAGGGAAGGTGTCCTGGGGGAGCAGGAAGCCTTATCCCTCTGCCTCTCTCACAGGCCACACTCTCAGCTGCATGTGCGTGCCCAAGCAAGGGCCTGGTTGCTGCAGGCTGCGGCCAGCAGGCACTCTCACAGAAACACGGGCTCAGGGCAGCATCACAGTGGTCCAGCTCCACCAGGCTGGCTCACGGGGCCATCGAGAAGCAGACAGAGCTTTCCAGGCCCACCTTTGCTGAGCACGGCCCTGGGAGCCACTCCCCACCCAAGTATCCAGCCCACCTCACAGACCCCACAGCTCTCCAGAAAGCTGGGCCTTCTTGCCTCCAGCATGTGGGCCCTGCCATCAGATCTCCCTAAAGTGTGACAGACCTTCCAGAAAACGTGTCCACCCATGATGCCAGCTGGGTGGGAGTTCCCCCTCTGTGCCAGGAAAGAGTCTCTTTTTAGATGGAACATCGAAAGTCCCCCCTTGAAGGCTCTGGGCAGGGAGCCAGCAGGAGGAAAGGGATTTACAAAGGGCATGCAGGTGCCTCTCAAAGGCACCTTGTCCCCAGGGAGAGCCCTCTTGCTCACGACCCCACCACCCTCTTCCTGTGCTCCCAGATGCCATCCCCACAGAGGAGCGTTCCTGTCACTTGGGTTTGGAAACCATCCCAGAGCACCTGGGGATGGCAGGGAGGGAACACTGCAGCAAGAGTTTGCCCCAAGACAGCCGTAAACTGTTCCAGACCCACCCTGATGGTGACAGTAACAATGAGGTTATTGTTAAGAGTGCATCAAAACATCTCTTGGACACTTGGTTATGCTCATTAATCTGTAATCTGTAAACTAAGTAAAAATAGTGAGTTCTATGTAGATGGGGTCTTGGGGCGAGCCCCACCCCACCCAGCCACATTGCTGTCCCCAAGGTTCTTGGCCTGGAAAGCCCTCGGGTTGGAACTCACCAGAGACAGGAGAGCAAGGTTAAGGGGTGGGGGTGATGTGGAGGCCCAAGGGAAGCCAGACCAGGTGCAAGCAATGGAGGACCACACCTAGAATGTGCCACCACCACGGGGGGACCTGGAGGCAAGAAGAGGGTGGCAGGGTGTCCCCACAGGGCCCAGGGAAGGTGCACCCTCCCAGGTATGGTTCCCGGGAGGTGGACACCAGTGAGGCAGGACTGTCTGCCCATCGGTCGGTCAGACGACACCTAGCACAGGGCTGGGCATGCCCACTGCTCTGCAGGTGTTTGCTGACTGGCCAGACGCCTGCTTTACCAGGAGATGCGGTGTGTCTCCTGGGAGGCCAAGAGAGGAGCTGTTGGGTGAGGCAAGAGCAAGGACAGGGCAGAGCGAGGGGAAGCCACTGTCGGTGGGCCGGGGACCCAGACCTGCCCCAGGCCACTGCAGGCCCTGCACATGGCGCCCCTGCCTCCTCAGGCTGAGTGGCAAAGCCAAATTCCCCTGGGGAATTACCAAATAGCTACAGGGAAAGTAGGGCCATTTACCTACCTCCCTGGCTGTGACTGTCAGGGCCAGCAGAGGCGACAGGACAGCCTAATGACAATAAATCAAAGCACTGATTTCTGCATCAAACGAACAGCCCAGACTCGTCAAGCAGCTCATCTTCCAGAAGAAAATGTATTCCTCCTTTGTAATAATCTCATCTATTCAAGAAGCAGGAAAAAAGGGGCAGTTTTCACTCAACGGAAATCTTCTGGGTGCCTGAAGATCACATTGGGCTTCTAAATTAACTCTCTGACTCCCTGGAAGAATGAAGTGAATTAACACTGCAGAAGTGTGATTTCATTGTCTTTGGGACCTTAAACGTCAACCGGCAGCAAATCAAACCCGGGATACAGAACGCACAGCAGGGCCGTTGTTCACAGGTGTGTCCACGGCGATGCACCTGCTCCGAAGCCAGGCTCCACTTTTTTTAATAACATCTGGAAAAACAAAAGCCCACTTGCATCCCCTCAGGGGGTTCACACGGTACCCTGGGTACACGTGTGGAGACACTGACCATCACAGCTCTGGGCAGCCTGGAAGGTCAGCTGTCTCTCCCTGAGCTGAGCCAGGAACTAATGGACAGAGCCAGGTGGACCCCAGCCCCGCAGGCAGTCCCTCTCCGTGCACTGAGCTCAGGTCCCTACATCTAGTAGCAGGGCCAGTGAGGGGCACACAGAGCCCTCCCCTCACTCATTCATCTCTCCAAGCCCTCACCCACCTTCCTACTGCCCCCCAGCCCCATTTTCTCTTCCTCTCTGCCTCCCCCTGTGTCTGTGTCTCCGTGTCTGTCTCTGCCGCCCCCCACCCCAAAAATGCAGGAACTGCTTGCTTCTGCATGGAAGGGCCAAGCTCAGGGCCCATCTCTCCACAGTGAGGTGCAGGTGTGGCTCTTGCTAGACAGTACTTGCTGGCGCCCCTGCACACTGGGCCAAGGATGGCGGCGATGATGAAGGAAGATCATGCGCTGTGGTGCAGCAGTGTCTGCATGGCCCCGCACACAAGTCGAGGGTGTCAGCACCAATGCGTGAGTTATGTCGGCGCACACGGCAGGGTTTGAACGGGAGCACACATTGGCATGTGACTTAAGACCACAAGCGTCTGCAACACACGTGATTTGTGCAGAGGCTTCACAAAGGGACCACCCGGTGATGTACATGTGCGTCTGTTTTCTGTCCTGTACAGAAACGAAATCACGCCTAGGGCTTCAGTAACGTTCCAAATAAGGACTCTTCCTACAGAAACACAGAGAAAGTGTTCCAACTTGGAGAGCTGATGCTGCCATCCTGGCACATTTGAGGTTCTGCATGGAGAGTGTGGGTATGAGCTCGGAGATGTGCAAGTCACGTCCGCCTTTCAGGAGCCTATGGCTGGGGGAGGACCCACCTGGCTCTCAAATCTGTAAGCGCAACACGCCACAGGCTGGGCAGGGTCTCCAGGGCCTCCAGGGCCAACATGGCTGATGAGCTGATGGTTTTCAGGCAACTTTGAACACCGACTGTCAGACTTAGCTGTTAATACGAGTCAGATAACAGCGACTCACAGCTAAATAAGTTATATCAAAAATAAAGGCAGGAAACACTCAAAACTCACCGCCTCCTAATTATTTACTGTTATTTGTGCCCTTTCCACACCCATTGTGTCTGTATCTCGGAGGTCCACAAAATGTCAGCTCCTGCACACCTTGTCCCAAATCTGTGCTCACTGGCCTCACACCAGCCCCATGAAATTGGCCACAGGAATGGTACTTACACCATGGAAATTGGCAAAGGTTACAAATCAGTGCCTTTTCTTTTCTGGAGAGCTGGCTGTTAGCAGCACACCAGTGACATCAGAGTCATGCAGGACCTTACCAAGTTATGGACACTAGAAATGACATGTGTGTCCTCTCACTTGGGAGGACGTGAACACATCAGGACAGGAATCAAAACAGGCATGTGTGTGCAGGCGGGAGACACAGGCCTGTCCCATCCCGTCTGGGACCCCAGTCCCAATGCTGCCCCTCATCACTCCTCTGGGGGCCAGAGCCTGCCTCCCTGGTGCCCCCTCTCATCCTCCCTCTGCTTCCCTAGCCCCGTCTCCCTCTCATTCATTCCCACATCTGCTGGCCTGACCCTGGCTGTGCTGTCGTCACACAGCTCATCCTTCTCACCAAGCAAACAAACCCCCCACCAGTGCGGACACACTGCCTTCCTAACACAGGCATCCTGGGAGAACCGTCCACAATCAGCCCCTGCCGGAGGCATCTGGCTTCAGTCTGCACCACGTGGGCAAGGTCGTCCCCACGGAGGCTGACAAGGGCACCACCCTCCCGTCCCTCATGTCACTAGTGGGTCCCATGGGGCTGCCTGCTCTTCCTACCCTGGTCCACCCACCCCTTGAGCACTACATCACATTCACACTTGCAAGAGAAACAGAGAAGTGGACAGGTATAGGAGAAAGGGTGACGGAGGCAGTCCTGGCATCTGAACCCCAGAGCCTGCGTGTGGGACGTTGTGAGGCAGCCAGACCGGGAGCAGACGACCAAGCCAGCAGGGGCTGCCGAGGACAGTCATCAGTGAACACGTGGAAGCTCCTGGCTGTTGCTGCGGGAGAACAGCAGGAAAGACAGAGCCGTCTCGGACTTTCCAGCCACTCCCCCATCTGATGAGGCGCCAAACCCTGAAGTTCTGTGCCTTCACGCGGCACAAACAGGTGCCTCCCATTGGCGGTCAGGAAATACCGCACCAACGTGACCTGTCTATGCCCAGAGCAGCCACAACGTCCAACGTGAAAAGTGTGGCTCGGGGGGCCCAATGGGAACCAGAAGCTAAGGGCCTACTTCCTTCCAATGGCCTAGACGGCCTGTCAGATGCAGGGGTCCAGCCTCCACTGACCCCTCACGCTGCCCACCGGCTGCCAACGCTAACGGTTATTTGTGCTGCCCAGAGACTGTCAGGAAGGGTCACAGACAAGTAAGTCTAACTGCTGACTGTCATCCCAAGGGTGTGACCCCAAAGCTGCTTGGACCCACAAGCTGTGTCCACACAGTAGTTCAGAAGTTTCTCCAATCGCAGGTGGAGTTGTAGTCGAGCAGCCATGAAACAGAAATAGTTGGCTGACTTAAGTACCTATCACATGTGACTTTTCTGTATTTAGATAAAAATAAATGAATAAAATTGTATTTTTAATTAAGGTAAAGAAAGTGCATCCACCAGATTTGCAAATCCCTTCATATCCGTGTGTAATGAACAGGGAGCCGCCAATGTCTAAAGACCTAAACAACCAGCACAGCAACATTAGTTCTCTCCTCCCAGAGATCAAAACCAATACACAGGGGTCACTTTTGGATCAATGACACGTAAGCAATGTAAATTAAAGCACCATACGTACCCTGAGTACGATTTCGTGACTAACAATTGACGTCATTTTGCAACGTCAGCGGTAAGACTGTAAACACGGATTTACAGCAC